GAGGGGTATATGGAAAAGAAAGAACAAAAATGTTTTCTGGGAGATAATATAAGTGTCTCTGCACTTTAACTCTTTTTAAAAAAAAGAAAAGAAACAAAAAAAGATGAGAAAAGAGAAACATAAAGGGAGAGTGACAAGTACGCAACCACGTGGCGTGCTTCTGTTGTGTTTCGTGGATTTATTAAAAAAAAGAATCACAAAACGTCTTTCTAGGTAGTATAGTAATGGTAATTAAGAACTTGCTGATTCCACGTTTTCATGGCTCATGGCGACACAATAAAGAATAACAATGAACACTACACTATTACAAATATTTATTATAAATAAGATATAACAAATATAAAGGATAAATATATTATATTGAATTAATAATGATTGAACGGAGATGAAATTTTTTGGTACAATAAAATGAAAAGATCAAATGTTGTTGAAATTATTTCATCCTGAATTTGTATATCCTAAAAACTTTGTAAATTAATTTTTTTTCCCCATCAAACTTTTACTCTGTTAATATTTATTCCATTTTGTAATTTAGTATTATAAATGAAAATTTATAATTATTAAGAAAAAAATCCATAATTTGCATAAAATTAAATCAATATATTATTATATTTGTATCTTTTTTAAACAATATTTTAAAAGAATTAACATATTTGTAATTAAATTTTACAGTTTACTCATTTATTATAAAAATACATAATATATTTTTCATGTTTATTTTTTTAAAGATAAGAATGCGCTGGCATACGATGACATTCAATGTTGAGAAGACTTAACACATATCTATACTAACAATCTATTTTAAAGTCTCAATATATTAGCATTGGTAATTTCAAAGTTTTCAAGATCAAAAATTCTCACTTATTCTGAAATAATGTGTGAATACTATAAATTAAATATCATAAAAATTAATAAATAGAAATTTCATTTTATTTTTCTTATTAAATTTTGATTGAAATTAATGGAATAGTCTAGAGCGATAGAATAGAGGAGATAGAAGAATTAATTAACAGACGATGCTAACTGATTAATTTTGTCTGTCCTATCTTAGAATTATCTTAATTAATTACGTGACGTGTTCGATATGAAATCAGAATGTTAAATCATCTCCGGCAGCGATTTTATACTTCTTATATAAACAGAGATCGTTGTGTTCGGGAGGTCATACGATGATACACGATCGTTTCCGATCTTCTATAAAGTTTTTTTTCTTTTATAATAAATTATAATTTGTTAATTTTCACACTTTTACTGTATATTTAAGTATTTAACAATTTTTTTATGGTAATATATGTTACAATCTATATATATTGTGCAAACTGAAGTTACATTTACACATTTAAAATATTAGTTTCTGCTATTATGTTAAAGTTATCGTTAAAATAAATATAAATGATTGATGACCGTAATTTATTAATTTTTTAAATTTTATTCAAAGTATTTATTATTTATTATATCGTTTATTAGTTATTTATGAAATATATAAGAATAATAGTGTGAATTGTTTATTTTTTTCATATAAAAATATATTTTCTTTATATTAGAGTATTATTACTTTTAAAAATATGTTAATTGTTCTTTTTAAAAGATAATTTTTAAAAAAGAAAAGAATTTCTTTAAAATTAGAAATTAAAATTTACCGCCAAAAAGATCTAATCTGTATTATCGAAAGAGTATTCACATATACATACCAGTTATGTATCTAAAAATTCCTGCAATATCGACGGATCTGTCAATTGAATACATTTTTTTATATTTTACAATCATCAATCAAAATTTTAGAATTTAACAATTCTATTTCGAACTAATGATTAGAGAATAATAAATAATAACATTAATATATAAAGATTTATGAAAAATTATTTCTCATATAAATTTTATTTAGATTGTTTACTTTATCATCTAACGATTTCGTTTCCATTATTGTAAAAAAATATTTATTAAATTTAAATTTTTATTAAAAAAAATATTCTGAGATAACAATAACCATATTATTTTTATATGTTTGTAAAAATTAAATTAAAGATTCAAAATACGCCGAAAATTTTACTCCATTGATCATTGGATAATATGCGGCCATATGTAAAATCGAGACGAGTCGCTTCCAGTATTCCAGTCGTGCCAGAACCACCGAGCGGTGCGAACGTTTGTGCCTCGTGCGTCGTCCTCTAATAGTCGTGTATATACGCGCGTATCGGTGATTTTACGACCATATCAAGTCGCACATTTTCGATATAATACAATTTCGTGAATATTTTAACTAATTTCGTCTATGAATCAAACGTGATAGATGTTCAAAAATCTGTGCACAAGAGAATCACAATATCTGTGACACGTAAACGTGAACTAACGAGGCGATCACGAACGTTTTCGCCTTTTTCGTAAGGTGTGATCATCGTGAACGTATTTGAAATATTTTTGGCCATTCGAGGAAGTGTTCCGGCATTCTTAAAACCGGTGCGTTACCGCCTCGGGAACGATTTCGATCGACAACGTGAAGTGCACTGAAAGTATTGGAGCTGCTACGAAGCGGCGAGAACGTGAGTAAATACGTTTTTTTCTTTTCTCCACTAACGCCGATAGTACAAAGTACAAGTTTTCTCATATTTTCGTTTTTGCTATTTTTCCTCCATAACCTCGAATGCCAACAAATATTTTTATATCTTTTACTTCTTTTATATCTTTTATATTGCTTTTCTTCATAAAAAGTTTGATCGGTTTCTGTATTTCGATAGGTTAGATTTCGATGGATCGTAAAAAAACGCGCTTTCGGTGACTATACATTCGAAACATAAATTCTAATAAATATATAAGTAATAAAAGACTTATATTTTTCTTTTCATGCTCAAATAGTATATAGTTGTTAAATCGAGTGCGTGTTTCGATCGTTTCTAATAAAAGGTACTCCATACTTTTATTAGGCATCAGCTGACAGTATTAGCACGGACTTTTTCAACAAGATCTGCTTGACGTTAGCCGTGAAGTTAATTTCCTTCGCATTCGAAGTCTTCCAATACTAATACTTTGATAAAAGCAACATGTTATTATTCCATACGAGTAGTTTGCCTAATAGAATCATAAGATTTATATGATTCGTCGCATAAAAGATTCTATATAACTGATTCCAATCGGCACGTTTTATTTATCCTTCCTCCAAATACGCGCTATGCTTTATCGTATTTCTCATCTAGAAATGCGAAAACGATGGAAATGGAACGTGGAATGAAATTAATTTGTTTCATATTAGAGGAACGCGCGAAATTGGTTTAGTAATACATCTTCCGTTTTAAAGTGACAATATGTAGTCACAATCTTTGAGTTGTTTTTTTCCATTCGTAATATATGTATTAATGATTATTATTACCGTTTATATCATGTATATCATTATTTCCATTTACGTTGTTTATCATAAAATGTCTGTGCAACTTCCCTTAGTAAAAGTCAGTGACTTTTCAATTTTATCGTGCACCTTTCTCGTAAATTATAAATGATAGATTAGGCATGCATATTGTTACATTAGTGGGCTAAAGTTTTTATTATTAGTTTTATTTCCATGCAAAACGGATATATCGCATTATGAATCATGTGCAGCATGGGTCGAAACGCACACTCGACAAATCTCGCAAAGGTTAATGACATCTCTCGCGGGTGATGAATCGTTAAAGCTTCCTCTTTTTTATCCACATCGATTCTGCTGACCTAGAATCGATATTGGAAAATATATAGATTCTGTTATATTACGAACGTTGACAATAACAGAAGCCAACTGTTATCTCCATATCTTTAGTACATTCAAAAAGAGGACAGTGTGTTCTGATTATCCGCTATCCGTTTTTTGTTTGAATTTTTTAAAAGAATGAATTGAATTTTTTTTTCTTTGAAATTAATTCATTTTTTTTTAAAGTAATTTTATGGATTACTAAAAATATTGGAGATTTAAAATTTATTTTATTTCAATGAATTTTTAAAATATTTATGGAATTAATTGACTTTTAATTGGATATTTTAAATAAGGAAGTTATAAAATCTTTATAAATATATGTGAGCGTATAAGACGATCTAGAAGTAATAAAGCAGTGAACGTAGATATATATAAAATATTGAAAATGTTATAAAATATTTAGTAAAAAATAATTCTTTCTTGGATATATATTCAATAGTATTTTTATAATTATAAATGAAGTTTAAAGGATTATAATATCTAAAAATGATTTTAAATAATTATACAAATCATAAACACTTCATATCTTTTTTAACATATGAAAAGTAAATTATTTTTGATGCGCACAGTGAAATCAAGAGCCTTACCAAGGCTTAATGAAACGTTCTATTTTTTACTCTGTAGGGTGATAGCCTCTTTTAAGTTGAGTTCAACGACTTGTCAGGCAAGGTCATGTATGATTATAAACACTTCGGAAATATTATTTTTTTTGCAATGGATATTTAAAATTTTTGAATTATAATTAAAGTTATTAAATTCAAATTTAACGGAATCCGTTTCATTTTATATTTGCAGCAATAACTTGAAACAAAAAAAATCCGATCTATGCATATGCTTCGAATGCAATTTGAAATATCTCAAAGGATTCGAATTCTTTCAAATTATACAAATTCCTTATACGATATCGAATTCGCTGCTCGGTGTATTATGTGGTCCATTTACGCCGATTCGATATCTCAATTTCTTTTTAACTTTCAAATATTCCGTTCCATTTTCAATTCTATTTTCATTACTTTGTTACATCTTTCCGGTATAACTTTGTCTTTGAACTTCTTCCAGACATCCGTCGTTAATCAAAAATAACTCGTTCAAGAACTCGTCAATGACCTTGAAACGTCCTTGACGTCAACCAAATTTCTCTTTACGAAATTCTAATCATTTTACTTTCTCTTTTCTAACGTTCAATTCTTTTATTCGTTAATTAAAAAAAAAAAAGAAGATGTCTCTTATATCCCGTATCTAATTCACACGCGCAAAAAAAAATATTGTAAATATTTATATCAAAGTGAATATCGATATAGGTGTCGTATTAAATCGATCGTTTGCGAAGCGTAAGATAACGTTATCGAGAAAGGAAAAAGGGAAGGGGAAGAAAAAAAAGGAAAAAAAAAAAATAAATAAAAGAAAAATAGACGACGCGTATCCCCTGTAGAAAAACCTTGAAAAAAATGAAACTTGGCACCACGTGGTAACCTAATACACGACTATGAGATTTCACAATATTATGAAAATTATATTCCCGTGAAACAAAATATCCTTTTATTATTGTGCAGCCAGGGCAAATTGAAAAGCGCGCTCGTGTGCGCGCGTCGCGTCGTTCTGTCTGTTACTTGAAAAGGAGAGGCCAAGGTGCACCGGCTTGAAATCCGTTTAATTATTGCATTATTTAACACAATGGCGCAAAATTCACTGTGAAATTTTGATTCTTGCATGTGATTATGGAAATAAGCCTTTATTAATTCAACGTTCTTGATTAGATTCATTATTTTATGATTCGATTTGATAGTGATAGAGAGACATGTATAGGATGATTCATACCATGATTCGTAAAATTAGTAAATGTTGATTCTAATTTTTATAATCGATATAATTTTATGTGATCTAATTTACATTGTTTTTTGTAACGAATTTAATTAGTTTTTAATTATATCATGTTTTAAAATTTTTTAACAATTAATTTTATATATATATTTTTTAATCTTTTTTTTTTTATACTTTTTGATCACTTTTAATTTGTACAATAGATATTGAATGTAAAATATTGAAAGGTAAAGAAAAAATAAAATAAATAGATTTTCGAGATTATTCGATTCTTTTACGGGAAAAGAGAAGAAAAAAAAAAACTATCGAGAAGCAATAGAGAGGAAAAAAACGCGCAGATGTTTCCTTTTATTTTCTCATCGGATGTCCCAGTGATCGAACAATAATCGTCAATTGACCGGCAATACGATCTAATGAAACCGTACACCGACGAGGTCTGAAATCTAAAGTTCGTTTGTAATTTACATATTTAACTATATGTTATTTTTAATAATATTAATAATTATTAAATTACATTATTTTTTCATTAATTTTAAAGAAAAATTTGAATAATGACACTTGTATTGTTAATATTAAAAAAAAAATACAAGTGCAAATATTAAATTCAAACCGATGATATTAAATTTCGTTCTTTCTTTCTTTTTTTTTTTTTTTTTTT